TTAGCCGAGGACTTCCTGGACGTTGGAAGCCACAAAACAGGGCAAGGGAACCGACTCTCCAAGGCATGTGACCCTCCCACGCCAAGGGAAAGGGAAGTGTGGGGGGAAGCACTCGGGTAGCGAAAAAGGCGGCTGGCGGGGGGATGGGGAGCGCAAAGTCCGCTTTGGGCGGCGGGGCGCACGAGGGGGAAGAAGACTCACGTTCCCGCAACCGGTTCTTGAAGTTGGGGTCGCTCCTCCTCTTGCGGTCGAAGTAGATGCAGTAGCCGATGAAAAGGGCGCCGCAGACGCCAGCGGCGATAGCGCTGCTCTTGCCCCCCATCATCTTCTACCTTCCGTGCCTGCCTCTTCCCGCTTCTCCAGGCACCTTGGCCAGGCACGCAAGGAAAAGGAAGGCCCGCCTCGCGCAAGGCACTTCCGTCATCAGCCGGCGACGGCAAAGAGGCTCACTTTGCCTTAGGCCCGGGCGAGCGCTCGGGAAGCCGAGGCGCGCGACGCACGTCCCGCCTGAAATGCGCCTGCGCACGAGGCTCCTCGGTCACCCTCCTCAGGGTGTTTTGTGTTACGCATGCGTGAAGGATTCCCACGGGGTTCTCCGTTAATTGTAGGGGAGTTGGTTGCATTGACGAGCTCATTCATCCGTCCATTCATTCAGTTGGTCTCTCATGTGCAAGATAACAGGAATAAGAATAAACATGAATAAGAACACAGGGAATGGGTACAAATAAATGGGACAGTAGGACAGGGACTTTAGGCAGGCTCGTGCACTAATGCACATCCCTACTGACCTCTTAGGAATGGGGAGAGGTCAATACTAGACAGTTTAAGGTTAAGGGGGTTTGAGAATGTAACAACAGAGTCAGAAAGAGCATTCTAGGCATTGACCACTCTGCTGCTGAAGCCGTATTTTCTGCAATCAAGTTTGGAGCGGTTTACCTTGCGTTTGTATCTGTTGTGTGCTTTTGTATTATTGAGGTTGAAGCTGAAGTAGTCGTTGACAGGTAGGACGTTGTAGCAGATAATTTTGTGTACTACGCTTGTTGGGTCAGACCAGAAGCACCGTAGTTCTAGATTCTCCAAACCCAAAATTTCAAGCCTGGTGGCATAAGGTATTCTGTTGCGAGCAGAGGAGCGGAGTACACTTCTCGTGAAATACCTCTGGACTCGCTTAATTGTGTTACTGTCCCATATACAGTGCGGATTCCAGATGAGTGAGCTGTATTTGAGAATTGGTATAGCAAAGGTTTTGTATGCCCTAGTTTGCAGTACAATATTACCCAAGAAGAATCTTCACAAGATTAAGTTAACAACTCTTAATGCCTTTTTGGCAATGCTATTACAGTGAGTGCTGGCTCTTAGATCATTTGATATGAGTACACCAAGATCCTTGAACTAGTGGTTAATTGTCTATGGAATTGGTCTGAACAGAAATTGTGCAAATCAACCCATTGCGTCTATCAGCATTAAGTTGAAATTAATGCTGAATGATTTTTTTCCCAGTATCATCAGTGATAAACTGGAGCATACTAATGTGGGCGAACAGAGAAACCTATTCTAGTTTTGTCAGAAACAGGCCATAATTTTACGCTTTCTTAGAAACCCCAAGACATACATTTTATTAGAATACCCTAATCCCTCATAGCAATTACAATAAAAGGAAACCCTACTACAAGCTGCATGCTTTCTTCATGTTATGAATAAAAAGCGGCAACTGGATATTAAATACAGGGTTTGAAAAAGAAAAAAAATCTATTGAAACAAAATTAATATAGGTATAATCTGTTTTTTTTCCATGGGGAAAAAGTGTCTAATCTTAGAATTCTGACACAATTAAATCGCTATCAGAATAATCTGTAATCAAATAATGTTAATATAATTCATGTAAGAATAGTAAAAAAATATTGTCTAAAAGAAAAAATACTGATGACTGTTGAGGATTCACAAAATTTCCCATATCCGATTAGAAATTGAATAAATTTTCTTTTGCATTTATTCAACTTCAGTTCAACCTCAAAAGAAATGCTTGTTGATATTGTACAACAATACTTTTTAAAGATTTGAAAGCTGCAGTATAGATACTAAATGAAGGCTGAGTTAAATAGCATTTAATCCCTACACAATCTCTTCAAAAGAATATATAATTACATAACATCATAGCCAGCAATGTGAAAGTTGGGGATAATCAGATTAGATTTAACAAATGGCCAGGTTATCATAAAAAAGATCTATTACTGAATTCATAGAAAGACCAATAGCAATTAGCACATAACCAAATACTACAGGTACCTTTGTACCACGGTATTCCAAAAAACAGGGCCAACATGAAATAATTTAAAATTGTCCCGTGTAAACTTTTTCAACTTATTCATAATGTTAATGTACACATATTTAACAGAAAAGACAAACATTACAAAGAACACACTTGTAAATAATTAATTGCCTGTTGTTAGAACTCTTTAAGAAAGGCTTTCTGGTATTTATTTACATTATAAGGATAATAGATGAAAGATATTAAAACAATCATAAATTTCTAGTGTGACGTTTTTAATTCATCTTCCAATGTTACATTTACAAATTAGATGAGCTTCTGAATTGTGAAAATGGAGATAAAATATATAAGAAATCGAAAAGATTTTCTATGCGATAAATTTTATTTAAAAGCATCTTAACATTACAAAAATATCTTAATACTGTATCATTTAGGTTTTCTCATTTTCATGCTGTTTTTTGATTTTGCTTTTTTGATCTTTTTCACTGGGTCTGCCTTTTCACCAACAAAAAAATTAGAAGATCCTTCTGATTTTTTTAGAGAAGTAGTCTTTGTGTGTTTCAATCGAACAGAGCTCTTTGCATTTTTGTTTGATTTCTTCTGTTCTTCTTTCTCTCTTTTTACACAACGTTGCACTCTTAGCTTTCTTCCTTGTAATTCAGATTGGTTTAGTTTGAGAGCAAGGTGTACAGCATCTATGGTCTTTAAGGAGAAAAAAAAAAAGCAACTCATAAAATTCCTCTTACATGGACTGAGAATGGGAGGGCTATTCCCTCATCACAATACTACCCCATGCATTCTTAACAGATGATTTGGAACAGGGGTGTCAAATTGGTGGCCCACGGNGCCAGCTTTGCTGGCTGAGGAACTCTGGGAGTTGAAGTCCACAAGTCTTAAAGTTGCCAAGGTTGGAGACCACTGCTGTATATTGTTCATCCTAGAGCCGTTATTAGGAATTAAGTTGAAATTAGGAATTACATTTCAGGAGCTTGACAACATTGAAAGAGATAAAAGAAAAAAAAGACCCACCTATCAAGCCAGATGATTAGCACAGAAAACTACAGCCCAGGAAAATCAACCCTTAGTAACTAATTCAGAAAATGGGTTTCCCTTTTTATTGGGGGGGGGGGGCAATCTCTGTGGTCCCCAGAAACAGAGGCCAAAAGCAGAAAGGTTGAAGCTTGAATTTGAACAGTAAGCTATGATTTGCAATGTAGAATCTTGCGTTTTACAGAGTGTCTACAATTGTTTTGGGTGTGTTTGTATAAGATTAAAGAACAATTAAATCCATCCTGAAAGCTCCGAGAACAGTGATCCAATGAGAAAAATTAGTAATGACTGAGTTGCAAAAGCCTATTGCTTATAGTGGATAATCATTAACACTGATAATAACATAATCAGTTTATAACATGAACACTGCTAGCAACCTGATAACCATGCCACAGAGATCAAGTTAATAAACTATGGGATCTTAAACCTCTCTTTGACACCGAGATGCTAAATGAGACTGTAATTCTTATTCAACATCAATATATCACAAGGAATGAACTTATACAGTAGTAGTACATATGGGAATACTTCCATTCAACAAATCTAACAGAGAGCTGAAGAGCCAACAACAATTTTCAGTTTTAAGGATTTAAAATAGTATAAAATACATAGCAGTGATTAAATCTTTATTTAATAAACAAGGCAGTAATGATAAAAATTAAAATAAAGGATGCCTAAATAGAAAATGGCAAAATAGACTAGGCATAAACACAATATGCAGGAAGAAAACTACAGACTTAAGAGACCATAAAAGTCAGATGTCTGAAATACTTGTTATGATGCACAGTGTTATGCAAGAAAGAAAATCCGATTTCTAAATTTTGTGGTAAATCTCTGGACAAGTTGCAGCAGTTGGTTAAATAATTAAAACTCAAATTCCTGCAAACAGCAGAAAAACTAATAGGAAAATAGCAATTTTTATCCATTTACATTTTTCTATAATATAACTCAAATGATTGTGATAAAAGTGGGAGTAAATAAATAAGCCTGAAATAGGTTTGCATGCAGAAGGGTCTGGAAACTTTATTCAGTTCTGCTTCACAAAACGGGAGTTCCTGGCTGAGTAGTCTTTACTTCTAAGTGCCTGTCTTTTGCACTGCCCTTTGGTAGGCAATGAGCATGATATCTGTTTGTGCTCTTGCAACAGAGTGCAGGGAAAATATTACAGTTGCTACTATGAAAAACCGGTGGTAAATTCAATGTATAATTCAAAAGTGGTTTTCATTTAGACGCAAGTCACATATTCCTGCAGTCAGATTTTTGATTCTCAATGATATTGTTCTACATTTATTACAGGAAAGCATCCAATATCTAATATGATTATTTTATAGTATATGGCTGAAAGACTCTCAGTTAATTTACATCTAAAATCAGAATGTCATCTTATGTGTGCCGATATGGTAATAGAGACAAGTTCTATCTGTCAAATCCAGGAGGCAGTTATCTTAATTCAAGATGATGTTACTTCCAGGTATCTTGATCTAAAAGACCCTAGGCAGCTTTCAGAGAATGAAGGAAAATGTATGACATTCTAATAAAAATACAATCAAATGTCAGGTCCACTGATTTTCCTTTCTGAGTAACAAGCATAAGAAATTTCCAGGAGATGCTGAAATCTGTTGACATTGTCCCCCCACCCCAACCCCTTTGACTGCTGAAAAAGCAGGCTTACACATGAACGTACCAGGTACATTTTTAATGCCTTAGCTTTGGGTGTTTCAAAAATGAGCAAGGGGTGTGCATGTTTGAACATTGTAGTCTGTGTATATACAACTTTATTTGCATTGACATTAATGATATTTTTATAACTCAATATGGTGCGTTTATAAAATGAATTTATCAAAATACACTAGTTTAATAAATAAGTCCAGCCAAACCACCCTACTCAGAGTTAAAATTAACTTTGGCAGGCTTAAATGTGGTACACAGTCCATCATGACTTTTATGCTTATTCTTTTACTCTTCCCTACCCCCGGATGCTCATCTTTTGACTAAGGAAGTGGCATTCCTGAAAGATTTCTCATTCCACATCATCTTCAGCCAAGCATTGCGCACTTACAATTCTCTGCAAAATAAAATATAGAAACTTTAAAACTGTTAATGGTATAACTTCTCCAGTTAAGCACATTACTGAAATTAGTTACAATTTCTAGTTTTTGAAAATCAACCTCCCTCTGCCTGAAAAATCAACATAAGTAGCAGTATTTAATATGCAATTAAAAGTATTTAGAGAAATAATGAGCCAAGGCAAGCAAACAATTATAGAAGATTGTTATGATTTGCTGTAGCTTATTTGTGGAGGCAGTCGAATTAGTTATACCCAAAATACCTTTCTGACAAGATAATAAACTTTAAATAACCTTGCAGATTGATGTTTTTTGGCCACATGGCTCACAATATGGATCCAGTGGGCGCATTTTAACTAGTAAATCATGCTCTGAATACACCACTGGAAACAAGCCTTTCTAACGTAATAATCTGTGGTAGCTATTTCACTTTAAAGTTCCTTATTGTGCAAAATTAAAGTAAACACATGTGTGCCAGAAAAAGAACTGATATATTTGAATGTTTCTTGCAACTATTGCAAAAAGATCTAATACAAACTCAACTACTTTATGGGTAAATTTCATATATCCAACAACCTCTAGTAACCTAAACTAAATGTATTTCTTAGCAGCCTAAAGTTTATCTCAGCCTTTCTCAAATGCTTTTTTTCATTTTTACTTGGGTTGTCTTACTATAATATAGCTATATAACTTTATTCACAGTTTCTTTAATAAACTTAGTTCAAAATTAGTGAATTGGACTATCAGGTTTGGCACTGCATCAAACCAGTTCAAAGAACAAACTGATGTAAAATCTAAATTTAGTTAATTTTTTTCTCACAGCCATTTGTAAAGCTATTTCTTATTTAGATGGAAATGCTAAGAGTTTCAGATAGGAAAAACTAAATTATGTCATGTCAAAATATTTTTTAAAATTGTTTTATCGCAGTCAAATTACAAACAAATGTGAATTATGACAGAATTCTTACAGAAGGTTCTACAATTATAGCCTCTTTATAAGGATAATTTATAAATAGTATAGTTAGTCAAATTTCAGTTCTGAGATGGGACTGGACTGTTTGAAAGGAATAAGCTGTGATCACTACATATATCCTCATTTGCTTCAGTTCTGGATCTGATCTTAATGGGTTTAACAAACAATACTGATGAGATCAGGAGAAATAAAACTCGAAATTACTAATTCTATTTCAAAAAGCAAATTAGAAAGATTTTCATACCTGACTAATTGTAGGCAGTTTAGTAAGAAGCATTTGGAAAACTGGTGGTGGAAGAGTCTGTTGGAGAACTTGTAGTAATTGCTGAGGTTGTCCACAAACAGCGATGGCATTTGTCAAGTGATCAACACCTTTTTCATATTCTCCTGAATAAAAAACAAGCATATTATAGCTTGTTCAGGCATGACATTTAATGACAATTTGAAACGATTCTGTTAGGTTACAATACTTAAAAATTCAACAAATCATTTCAGCAAATAAGTAAAATATCTGCATGCCACATCTATAAATTTTTTAACAAAAAAATACCCAAAGTTCAAATTTCTACCCTAGAATATTCAGACTTTATTCTGTTAGTGGCCTTCTTGATTGATGAGCTATTTTAGACAAATTTAGATAGAAAAATAGCATGCAGTATATTAAAATAACAGTGATAACATTTCAAAGTTGCAGCTGTAAATTTAGAATTTTATTATTTTTATTATTTCTTTTTGTAACGCTCAAAAAGTAATTTGTCCTGCAATCCCTCTGCCTTGGAATTTAGTGCCCTGAATTTAGCTGAATCTATCCCCAAGTGGGTTAAGATTAAGGATTAAGCTCCGCTAATCAAAATTTAGAATTCTATACAAATAGGAAAGAAGTCATCAAACTCAATAGAGTTGGATTACATGTTTGTAAATATACATAGGCTTGTCCTTTAAAGAACATGCAATTATTTTAACCTTTCAAAGCACTGGTTTCAGTAATAAACATTTTTTCCTACTGATTTTGTATCTCTAATGTGTAACATACAAGTTAGCAAAAAGAAAGATTTTAAAAAATGCAATAACCTTGTGCTAAAAGTTCCTCTCCCAACTGAATCTCTTCAAGAAAGAATTTTTGAACTGCTTCAGCATCTTTTAGATCAGGCAACTACAAGAACAACATTTATCAAATCAGCCATTTAAATATCATAGCAAAATCTCCCATCCTTCCCATTATGCTTTTAAATATAATAAACTTTAATTTCTAAAAGGTTAATACTACTCAGAGCTTTTCAAGAATAAAGAGAAGTTTACAGGGAATATTACATTCCATTTTTTTTACAAATTGTTATAAAACTAAAAATAAAACCACACCTAAAAATCCCCTTATCAGTTTCTCAATCCTCACAATTACTCTAGAAATTAGCTATCCTTTGTGAAGTACATCATCCCATAATACATGGATCAAGAGAAATATCCATAAAAGGAAAATAGGTTATTTGTCCCTTCCCAGCAGCTCCTGAATAGGCTAAGATGGGTTGGGAGCTCAAAAGGAAGGGATGATTGCTGAAAAACTAGTTGAGGGATCTTCAATAGAAAAGGGGAAGGGGAAAAAAAGGAAAGTCATTATTCTTGCTTCTCCAAAATTTGGGCTATTGGATGTATGCTACAAAAAGTTGATGGTACAATAATTTCAAACCAGAGACCACTTTGAAAAAAATATTTTATTGTAATCATTCAAATATTTTATATCACCCTACTCCAGAAATTCTTGATGATTATCAGGAGATATGAAATGAAGAAATAAACCTCGGCTCCAACAAAACACAAGAAAAGTCATCCAAACAAATCAGTAAGAATAAATATATATATATATACGATCAAGCCAGTATTAGCCCCAAAGCCTGCCAATAGAGCATATATGCAAATAAAAATACATATTACTACCTTAGAAAATCCTGCTCTTTCTTTGGCAAGCTTCTGTTTCTTTCTTCCTATAGATTAAATAAGGATATATTGATTTTCAAGCACTCATGCTACCATACTTGCACTTCAGAGGAATTTTCAGAAGGGAGGTCCCAACTTCATAGATTTCCGTATGTACCATAGCAAAGAACATAACATACTCACATGCAACATTATATTACTTTTAACATATAGAATAATTATTCTTAAATTATGCAAAATATAAAAAATATTATCTACAGGTCACTCATTAGCTCACTCAAGAGTCAACAATATATGTTATTAAATTATTCCCATACAGGTAGTCTTCGAATCATGACCATAATGGAGTGCCCATTATGATCAGAATTTGGAATGACCATTAAGATAAACGCCCATGTGATCACTTCACTTATGGCCCGACTAGCCCTGTTTTCCCCATGCAGTTGTTAAACACATGGGTCATTAAACAGAAATAGATGGAAGGATGGTGCAGCATTCCTGCAATCAGTCATAAGACTGAGTGATCATGGGGGTGCTGAGCAGTTGTAATTTCAGAATTGGGTCATAAGTAACTTTTTTTGGGGGGGGGTCTGCCACAATTTGCTCAACAACTGTTGTAAGTAAAGGACTATCCCATCCTATCTATATTTCTTTTATTTTTTTCTAGCACCAAGAGACTTGTGTATTGCTTCTTGTGTGTTACAAAAACCCAAGAGTCCTTAGAAATTTGGTGGTAATACACAGAAATACATCAGGAGTCCAATTTTAATAAAATTCAAATGCTGTACTTAAGCTCACCATAAGCTCTTCCACATAGGTATAGGAAGATCACCAGCAAAAGAAATATCAAATGTGACGTATGTGTGTTTTTGTTTTATTTTTATATTTTCTTAGTATGATGTACACTGAAGATGGCATTTAATTTTGTTGTAAGAGGTGCAATGACAATAAAGTAAACTAAGCTAACATAACTCTAGGCTACATAAACAGAGGGATAGAATCAAGACCATGTGAAATGTTAATACCCCTTTTTAATGCCTTGGTAAGGCCACACTTGGAATACTGCATTCAGTTTTGGTCACCACAATGTAGAAAAGATGTGGAGACTCTAGAAAGAGTGCAGAGAAGAGCAACAAAGATGATTAGGTGACTGGAGACTAAAACATATGAAGAACGGTTGCAGGAACTGGGCATGTCTAGTTTAATGAAAAGAAGGACTAGGAGAGACGTGATAGCAGTATTCCAATATCAGCGGTTGCCACAAAGAAGAGGGAGTCAAGCTCTTCTCCAAAGCACCTGAGGGCAGGACAAGAAGCAATGGGTG